GCAACTTGTTTACAAAATATTTAACATACTTTGCTTTTACTCTGTTTCTTGATCCGTTTCTATCAGCTAACTTTCACTTACCTCTGAGGACGCTGTGTTGAATCTAAAGTAGGCTAACTTTGACTTTTATATATAAAACTCTATTTTTTTAAGTGGTGAGTCTTTTTTAGAATCGACTAATACTGAACTTTATCATCACTTTTAAGTGAGTCTGAAGCTGCAGTCCCAAAGTGTGCAGAAGTAATTCTGGGTTCTAGCTAATGTTTAATCTATGCTACCCTCTATTGGTGTAAGCCTGTTAATGCAGGGTGCCTTGCTTCTGTTTGAGCATAAACAGAATATTTGCTCTGGTACTAGACAAGCATTTGGAAAACTTCCAAAATGTAAAATGATCTCATGTAAACTGAAAGGCTAATATGTTCTCAGAGCCACACATAGAAGTAAATAAGGGAACCAAAGAGAAAGCCGACACAACTGGTTATGGCCTTAAAGCCTGTCAAACTGAGACAGATACACCTTACTCAAGTGGAAAAATATCTACAACAGATTTGTTGAACAGACAAAGCTGTTGAGGCCAGTGTCAGATACAAAAGGAATGACTGCTGAGTATGAAAGGCTTATAAATACTCATCCAATGATGTTCAGCAACAGCCTGTGAGAAATACTGTATATCAAACCCGAGGAAGAGAGTGCACATCTAACTCAACCCTTCAAATAATGCCAAGATAAGTCTTCCTCTTGCTATCCTACTGGGGGAACACACAATAAATCTACGCTCACTGAAATTTGCAGTGGTGACTGTAACTCACTTCTCTTCAAGAGCTTCAAGAGCAGTCAAAATGCAGCTTCTTTTGATCATAAATTCAAGTCATAGTTCATCTCCGAGTCCTGCAGGCACTACGGTATGTGACTCCTCTCCATTCATGTTAGTTTTCTCTTTTCTTCTTCTAAAGTCTGTTTTTTTGCATGGTGATGCTGATGTACAGGCCCAACCTCGCTCATATATTGGGCTTTGTGTGCCTCTCGTCACTGCGGTGGTGAATTTAGAGACTGCCTATGAAGGTCAAAAGTGAGCTGGTCAGGCAGGTGCCATCAGCGTACTTTGGCTTTGCCTTAGAATGTGACAAATAAGTCACCATGTCAAAGGAAAACAGCAATCTTTCTCTTTTTAACCAAATAATGAGTTTGTCATGGGACCCGATCTGTCTGGTGAGTAAGTGGAGCTGAGCAGGAGCACAAGGACCTCTGCATTCCCCTTGAATTGGCCTGAGCCTGCAAGTCTGACTGGCGTATCACTTTCCAAATGTGAGGGATAATCATCCCACTAAATTTAGACTATTGATCAGGTGTGGATGTGTGCAGGAAATGTGGCCAGCCATATAACATGTTGCTTGAAGTCTTTGTCCCCCTTCAGAAAACACAGATCAGACGAACAGAAAAATGTTTTCCTGTCATTCCAGATACAGTACGACAAAAATAACTTACCAGCATCACTTGTATTTTTATTTTTATTTTTATTCCTATTTATTCTATTTATCCCCTTTGTATATTTTATCTATATATGTCTTTGTATTTATATATGTGTGTATATATATATATATAATATTCTTAACTCTGTAACTTCTGTCGGTGCTGTGCTTTTTGGAAAACAAAATTTCCCAGAGGAACCCACCCGAGGGATTAATAAAGTTTTATCTAATCTAATCTAATCTAAATCCTCCAACAGTTGATGAGACACACTATTAGAGAAGCGCTCAATGTGCCCTTGTGTACAGATTTTCTCCCTTAATTTTGAATTAAACTATGAAGTGTTTTAGAGTATTTGTCTAAATATAAAAATGTTTTAAGCTTGTTTTAATTTTAATAATTCACAGTGTAGCCATGTTTTTAAAGCTTTATTTCTTTACCTTTCAGCAACATGTTTTGATCAAACTATCAAGATGATTGTTAGGATTTCTTTTCAGAAAGAAAGTTAATAAAGTTTCAATGACTGTCTCCTACAGAAAGACAAAGAGAGTCTGTGAGAACACTGTATGTGGATGTGTGTACACAGGTGGGTGTGCCTGTCCTGTGGATCCACACTTGCCTGCGGAGGTGGAGAATGTCGCTGTTGACTGTCACACTCTCACACTTTCCTGACACTTTTACACCAGCACCACAGGAGCACAGGGCGCCTCTCTTTCCAGCCATATTCAGATCACACACTTGCATCACAACTCCTTTTTTACTGAAATTTTACTATGATGATTCGCATCATTCTGCTCTAAGCCAACACATTATAAGCAGTGTATTTTTATTTAGACTAATTATCATCTCTCCAGCCAGTCCTCTATTATTAAACCTCAACATGGGTCAACCAGATAACATCTAAAATCTAGCCCCCTTCATGCATACATCATCAATCATCATCATCATCAAGAAAGTGTGCAAATTATTCTTTATTTAGCTTTTTCTAACAGTTAAACACAAGCGGTGCACTCGTTAACGGGGAAAAGTTTCACTCAAATATGTATTCCTTGAATAATGTTTGTGTGAAATTTGAGCAAACTCGTGTGGAGCTCAGTGTGGATGTGAGAGCAGCAGGAAACAGGTGGAGCTGTCAGGACAGCGCTCGTCTCCACAGATGTATACTTGAGAAAAGGAAAGACCTTCAAGCACACCTGTTCACATATTTGTCAAATATAATCTAATTATAGGTAACCTAGGCATATTTATAAACCCAAAGACTGCACCAAAAAGTTGCAATATTGAATTAAAATTGAAGAAAAATAGAAGTCAAGCATACTCTTTCAAGACACATTGCAGAAGACGATGATATGATATTAGGTTCAGTTCTTACCTGTGCTCCACATTGACTTCAGCTACTCCTGCTCTTAATGACTGGGTCCAGTCTCTAACACTAGCTAGGTAAAATGAGAAACAACTATTTCCTTTGTTGAATCCTTGTACAATTAAACTGATCTGGGTTTTTGCAAGTAGAAGAAAAACTTATTCTGAAAAGATTCCCACGATCAGTGAAAGGAAACAGCATATACTTGAGTAATACGAAGGACATGAGGACATAGAGATCGCATACATACACGTTGCCTCTGTCACCTCCCCTCCACCTCTCTACATCATACCTCCTCCCTCCCTCTTACTGTCCGCCCCGTGTGAAAACAAAGCGAGAGCAGGAGAGTACAGCAGCTAATCTCGACAGACCTGGTGAGAGCAGTCATGTCAGGGGAAGGAGCGAGCCGTTTGCCGAATGCTGTAGCGGGGACTCGTCAGCAGCAAAGAGGGCAGAAAGGTGAGCCAAATGTCAGTGAAGGCGTGAGGAAGTCAGATCCAATACCAACAGATGAGAATTACCCACCCGTGAAAGGATTTTTGGTACAGCGTGTGGATTGAATTCTCCCAACATTTGCAAAACACTCTTAAGCACACAAGCCTTTCTACATCTGCAAATTCTTCAACCTCTAAATAAACCCTGTGGTCCCACTGGATCACAGCACAGCTGCTGTACCTCAAACCGACAGCGGTGTTTAATAAAATCTAAAGAAGCTGATGAAAAAAAGCAAAAATTCAGATATAAATAAAAGCAGAGTGACAACGTAACACATGAAGAAATTTAAAGGTAAATTCTATTCTGCAGTAAGCAGTCATCCACCACATAGGCCAACTGGAGCTAGCTTTAATGTGACATCAGCTGTACAGTGAATGTCCAACTCATTCAAAGCCTACTGTTTGATATGTCCTTACACAGCATCACTTCCTAGAGTGCCTCCAGTGATTAGTGTGCGAGTGTGTGTGTGTGTGCAGCGTGTCACACTCTCAGCCTAATAAGCAGGCACTGCATCCCCCACCTCCCCATGCATTCTGCAGAAAGATAAGGTTAGAAGGGGAAAAGGACAGCAGTTTATAGATGTAAGCATTTTGTAGCACCCAGGGGCCTCGGGGGTAGCGTTACAGAGTAACAGAGACTCACTGCGGACAAAAAACTGCCCCCGTCTCTCTCAGCAATAAACATGCCATTAAAAGTAGCACCGAAAACCATTAATGGCTATAGTGTCTCTATTTACTGTTAGGTTTCTGACACATGCACATGTGGGGGGGGGAAAACTCAAGCGTATTAATAATTTCTCAGTAAGAATGCTTGATCGTATTTGTGGTTAATACTGTAAGCTGGTCCAAAGCCAGAGGGAAGGAGAGAAGGAGAGAAGGCAAGGCGGGTTAGGTTGCCAATTTTATTTCAACAATAAAGACAAACAGTTAGATGTTAGATGAAAACCTCACTTCAGAAGTTCAATTTTTGCTTTGTTTTGTTTGTTTGTTTGTTTGTTTTCTTTACCTAAATGATTTTTAATTAAACCTTTGACTCATTCCCATTCACTGCTTTCCCCTCAATGTATATCTGCAGTGGTTCTTCTTCTTCTTTACTAGCAGGGCCTAATTTTGCCCACAGTTGTAAGTTAGTAAAGTTTTACTTGTATAACAACTTTCAATCTTACGCTATGTCCACACGTACACGGGTATTTTTGAAAACGGAGATTTTCCGTTTTTGTTTTAAAAAATAATCCCGTCCACACGTAAAGGCAGAAATGAAGGAAAACGCTGCTAGGAACATGCCAAAGCAGCAGGTGGCGCTA